AGTTTCCAGAATAGGAACAATTCTACAGAAAAAGTGTCTCAGAAAGGATTATGCCGGCCCAGTGACATGCGACAGAAACTAGATGAATGCAAGACAGGCGTGCATCTAGGTAAACTGGCTAAAATAAAACACTTGCTGTGCACAACAAGGCACTTTATGCCACTGAACTATAACCTGCAGACTGGTTGAAGGGGTGGTGTGGAAGTGTTGCTTGGTAGTTAGGCGCTTGGTTTGCAACCTAGTCTCACAAAAACAACCCGACTGCTTAAAATGATGAATTTGATATGCACAGTATTTTATCACACACAGCACGGTAAACTCGATTGCTCTAAACACGTAGGTAATAAAGGTCGCGGAAGATAGTTCCTGCAAGGCGTGGAGGTGTAGCTCAGTGTTCGGTTTTCATCTCACCATAGTTACTGGAGGTTTCAGTCCATACTCAGCTAGCTCCAAGGCAGGCTGACACGTGGGGCAGAGAGCAGCAGCTCCAGGCGCGCGTAACAGCAGCAGTGACATTCTGTTTTGATTCTAAGGTTTGTTGTTGTTTTACCATTTTGTATTTTCTTTAGAAAAGTTAGAAGAAATTATAAAGAGAAGAAAGTTATGCATTAACTACTCCTTTCTTTCTTTCTTTCTTTCTTTCTTTCTTTCTTTCTTTCTTTCTTTCTTTTTTTTTTTTTTTGGCAGAACCGGGGATCAAACTCAGGCCCTTGCGCTTGCCAGGGAAGCGCTTATTCCACTGAGCCATCTCCCCGGCCCTACTCCTTTCAGTAGAATACTAGAATCAGCAACTATCCAAGCTATCCTGTATATTTACATAAATATGTTATTCCCTTCTGTCTTTCTCTCTTTTCACCTTTCCCTTATACCAGGTTTTTCTTCCCTTTGAGCAGATTATTTCCTTTTCACAGTATCTATTGTATCTTTCAGATTGTACTTATTCTTTGAAGTTTAACAAACAAAACAAATTCCACTTATAGGCATGTATCCATTTGCTGATAAAAGCCTAGAGTTTATCCCTTTTTATCTGTGAGTGTACTTAGTTGTGTGAAAATACCACATCTTATTTTGCATTCTTATCCTGTATTAAATACAATAAATAAAAAA